TCACAGTGCCAGGTCACAGTGCCACGTCAGCAGTGCCACATCACAGTGCCAGATCAGCAGCGCCACGTCAGCAGTACCAGGTCACAGTGCCACGTAAGCAGTGCCACATCAGCAGTGCCACGTCAGACAGTGCCACGTAAGCAGTGCCACATCAGCAGTGCCACGTCAGACACAGTGCCACATCAGCAGTGCCACGTTGGACACAGTGCCATGTCAGACAAAGTGCCACGTCAGCAGTGCCACGTCAGCAACATGACGGGCCTGCCAGGGCAACTGCCCAACGAGTCCATTGCCGCCTACAAGCAGCGTTGCCTGGCTCAGATTGAGGCTGAGGAACAACGCCAGCTGGCAGCCGAGGCTGCCCGTGTACAGGCTGAAGAGGCAGCAGCAGCAGAGAAGCTGCGACTACAGGCCGATGCAGACGCAGACTCCCAGGCTCGCCGCAAGGAAGCCCAGGATCTGCTACAACGGCATGAMGCCACAAGCACCGACAGACTCAAGTTCTGGCACTTTGAACCAAACGGCGACGAGGCAACACCGGAAGAGAAGCACAAGGAGTTCCTCTCCAAACTCGTGAGGCGGTTGTTGTATGCTTGCAACTACCAACGGCCAGAGTTGGAGAGACAGTACCAGGACCTGACGCAACAGCATCAGGAGTTGGCACAGCTCCGCCGCATGGTGCAGAGCCACGAGGATGCAACCCGGGCACTCAATGCCCGATTGCTGGACCTGGAACAGGCTGTACCAGGACCAACTGCTGGGGCTTCCAGCAGTGCACCCTCGAGCCGCCAACCGGAGGACCGCGTTGACCACGTAATGGCAATGCTCGGCGACATCAGCACCTTCGCTGCGCCGACCACCACCATCAGCAGTCAGCTGCATACATTGAAGACCGAGGTCCAGCAGCTGCAGACGACGAACGGGGATGGCAATCCGAAGATGTATAAGATGCCAACCTTCAATCTGGAGAGGTTCGACGACTACACGCAGCARGATCCGGTCCTCTGGTGGGAAGCATTCACAACGCAACTCAGGATTCTGCCCRTAGCCAAGCATGCGTACATCGGCGCCCTGTTCYTGAACTCAAAGGGCGGATGCCAGACSTGGTTGAGCCACCTGGCAACCTCCCAYGGCGTYGACGTRCCAGACTTGAAGGACGTAATCACATGGGAGGAACTGACACGGCTGTGGAAGAAGCRGTTCATCGTCGACGACGCGCYSRCACTCGCCATCAACCGTTTGTTCACCATGTCACAGGGCAACACAGCAACACGGGACTGRCTCACGGAGTGGSAGAAGATTGCGGYTGTGCCCAATCTGAACTTACCATTTGAGCATCTACGCCGTGAGTTCTACAACAGGTCCTGTGCTGCATTGAGCCAGGCTCTTGGTGATCGCGAGCAATACTCAACCTTTGTTGAGATTATTGACAAAGCAAGGGAGATCATCAAGACCAACAGGTCAGCTGCACACGAGAAATCAACATCATGGCAGCCGACCTATGTGGAGAAGGTACGAACTGGTCCGCGACAGCAACACTTCGCTGCAGTCCAGCAGGAGAGTGGAGATAACCCAGCAGCCACTCCAGCATCAAGTGACGGAGATCAAGTGGCCGCTGTCCAGCCGCGAAGCACCAACAAGTCCCGCAACAATGGGAAGGCGAAATCCGCATCGCAGGCCGGAAATAGACAGCCAGGACAGTTTCCATGGGTCAAGTTTGGCTTGACCGAGGCGGAGTACAAGGTCCGCGGCCGCTACGGCAGCTGCTATTGGTGCAACAGCACCAAGCACAAGACCTCCCTGTGCCAAGATCAGGGCAAGGAGGATGTGCGACCCCGCCTCAGCTCGGGAAACTGAGCTCCGCGGAAGGTGAGGCGACTCCACCTTCTACTCTGCCAGATTCGGCCGCCTTGCTAGCGGCCTCCTGCACATCTAGGGAGGATGCGAATGTCGCAAGTCCTCGGTATACTTACGAGGACTATGCTGTCCACTTGGTTCCACTGCTGGACCAACCGCTCCACGTGCAACAGTCCACCGCATGCACGGTTTCATCACCATCGGCAACCAATTCGGCAGCTTCGCCGCAATCTATCGCCGGGGATTCGACGTCATGGTCGAGACTTGAAGAGCTCGACCCATTGACGTTCACAAACTTCCAGTGGATGTCCGTTCCCTCGACCGGACGATTGCCGAAACCGCATTGCAACGTGCTTATGGCACAATTGCGGGACTACTTGCACACTGCAGTACCAGCTCCGTTGATGGACGCCGGAACAGAGGTTGTCGACCTTCTCGCGTACATCGCGAAGATTGACCGCGAGTTCAAGACAACGGTACGACGACATCGACGCACCATTGCTATACGTACGCATTCAGATCGGTGAGGCGACCTGCAGTGCCTTGATCGATTGTGGAGCATCTCGCAACTACATCAGCTAGGACTTCATGGTACGCGCCGGCCTTGGCCCATGTGTCCAGAGGAAGTCCCAGCCTACGCAAGTCACGTTGGCAGACGGTCATACGCACAAGTCAATTGACCGGTGCATTGACGCCGTCCCCGTGTACTTTGCCCCTCACGCAAGCGAGGCGGTGTCCTTTGATATTCTGGACACCAAATTTGACATGATCTTGGGCATGTCATGGCTGCGAAGCAAGGATCACTCGGTGAACTTCTTCAATCGCACCGTTCACGTTCGTGACCAGAATGGAGTATTAGTTCCATGAACGGTGCCTCTTCCTCATCCTTCGATCAGCGGCCATGTGGTATCCACCGCAAGCATGCGAGCTTCCATCATCAGAGACGACATCGAGGAGATGGGGGTGTGTTTTCTCCACGCCCTCCCGCCCCGAGACGCTTCATTGACGGACTCACCTTCGGATCCACGCATCATCGAACTTCTCGACGCCTACAGCGACGTGTTCGAAGGCGCGCACGGAGTAGTACCGGATCGACCCATCCGCCACGAGATCATCCTCGAGGACGGGGCCGTACCTCCGCGCGGCTGCATCTACCGAACGAGCGAGGAAGAGTTAAGATAAATCCAATAGAATCAAATCAATAAATTCGTCCGGAAGAAGAACGAGGACCTGCGGTTGTGCATCGATTATCCCACCAACGCGCAGACGATCAGGAACGTTGGCCCTCTCCCATGCATCGACGACCTTCTCGAACGATTGGGCGGCGCCCAGTTCTTCTCTAAGCTGGATCTCAAGTCAAGGTACCACCAACTCGAGATTCGCAAGGAGGATCGCTACAAGACCGTGTTCAAGACTCGGTATGGGCATTTCGAATGGCTGGTCATGCCATTTGGCCTTACGAATGCCCCAGCCACTTTCCAAGCGGCTATGACGACGAAGTTCCGGCACATGCTGGATCGTTTCGTACTTATCTACCTCGACGACATTCTGGTTTGCAGCCGGAGTCTGGACGAGCATGTGGAACACTTGCGCACCGTTTTGGAGCGGCTACGACAAGCCAAGTACAAAGCAAGCCGCGACAAGTGCGAGTTCGAACATCAGGAGCTGGAGTACTTGGGACACTATGTGACACCGCAAGGCATCCATCCGCTTGCGAAAAAGATCGAGGCCCTACGAGTATGGCCCGAGCCCACCAACACCACGGACGTTCGTTCATTCATGGGGTTGGCGAGCTACTATCAGCGATTCATCACCGGATACTCCAGGATTGCTGCACCTATGACGAGGTTACAGTTATCAAAGGTGCCATTCGTATTCGATGACGACGCACGCCGGTCATTCCAAGCACTTAAGACGGCTATGCTCATGGCAGCCGTCCTTAGCATTTATGACCCCACCCTGCCGACGCGAGTGACTACGGACGCTTCCGGCTATGGCATTGGGGCAGTCTTGGAACAGCACGACGGCGACGACTGGCACCCTGTGGAGTATTTCAGCCACAAAGTRCCTCCCATCAACTCGCTTGATGATGCAAGGAAGAAGGAGCTGCTYGCATTTGTGATGGCTCTCAAACGTTGGCGGCACTTCCTCCTTGGGCGTCGTAGGTTCGCATGGATCACAGACAAAAATCCATTGACCTACTACAAGACGCAGGACACGGTGAGCAGCACGATCGGACGATGGATGTACTTCATCGACCAATTTGACTTCACACCGAAGCATGTCCCCGGCCTCTCCAATCGCGCAGCAGATGCACTCTCGCGAAGACCTGATCTTTGCGCTATGACACATCATGCCTTCGCATTCGACGAGGAGCTTCAACGACACTTCATCCGGGCATATCAGTCTGATCCGGACTTCGGCACGCTCTATGCACAGCTATCTTCGGATCACTCGCCGACCAGCCATTACCGCATTGCCGACGGGTACTTGCTCCTCCACTCGAGAGGCAAGGACTTACTATGTGTCCCAGGCGACCGTCGTCTTCGGACTCGCCTCCTCGGCGAGTACCATGATTCACGACTCGCTGGCCATTTCGGAGTCAACCGCACTATTGCATGGCTTCGACAGCGATTCCGATGATACGACCTCATTACCCATGTCACTCGGTATTGCGACTCTTGCGAAGTTTGCCGACGAAGCAAGCACCGCAACCGCAATCCCTACGGCGAGTTACACATGATGCCTATCCCACGGGAACCCGGTCTCTCCATTGCCATGGACGTCACCGGTCCGTTTCCTCGCGACCGGCTCGGGCACGACGGCATCCTCACGGTTGTGGACCGATTGAGTAAGTACGCGCGTTTTCTTCCTTGCAAGTACTACTCCACGGCTCCCGAGCTGGCACGCCTCGTGCACACTGGTTGGATTTGTGGCCACGGTGTACCAGAAGACATTGTCAGCGACCGCGACACTCGTTTCATGTCGGCGTTTTGGACTGCTCTCATGCAGTAGTCCGGCACAACAATGAAACCAAGTTTTGCCCGACACCCTCAGACAGACGGGCAGACGGAGYGGGCACATCAGACCGCTCAAATGATGCTTCGTACGCTCATCCGTCCGGACCAGAAAGATTGGGTTGACCGCCTCCCCGACATCGAGTTCGCCTACAACACTTCGGTGCATCCGGCGATCGGCGTGACTCCATTCGAGTTGCACCACGGTGGACGGAAAGGCCGGATCTTCGCCGATCTTCTCCTCCCTCGACCAGCCGACATTGACRCTGCCTGCTCTCCCTCTTCCGTCCGGAAGTACAGGGAATTGCTGACTCAAGCCCACGCAAATATGCAAAAGGCTCAAGTCCGCATGCAGCAGCAAGCCAACAGGCGTCGCGTACCATGTCCCATCCGCGCCGGTGATCTGGTTTGGGTCTCCGCGGAAGAGTTTTCACTGGAACAGGATGTTTCACGCAAACTGCTTCCCAAGTGGTTTGGACCTTGGTCTGTGACCGCAGCCGCGGGCGATGAGCCGACGGCCCTTCATTTGTGATCAACATTCCAGAGCATCTGACGGTCCATCCGGTCTTCCACGCCTCGAAGCTGGCAACTTACACGCCAGCCAAGAGCGACGACTTTCCGGACCGACGATCGCAGGACCCTTCTTCTATGGATGGCCATCAGGAAGTTGACCGCGTCATCTCCGATCGCTAGTACGGCAGCAAGCCGCGGCAGTATAAAGTCACATTCAAAGCATGCGATCGCGACGACACTCGGTGGATATCAGGCGCAGATTTGAAAGCATCCGCACCGCTGATCTACGCGCATTATGAAAAGCGCAGGTTAGCTCAGGAAGCTTCACGACCAGCCCCTCCCACCCGGATTGTGGTCCCTCCCTCAGACAGTTAGCTTCACCCTCGCAGGTAAGATCGGTTCTTCAAGGAGGGGGGGGGGTGGCATTCTGCGTAGCCACACGGGCCCTGTAGGGCCCGTCCCGGACATTCAGCCTAAAAGCCTAAAACTTAGGGCTTACAGGCCCCGTTCGTTTCAGCCTGGATGCTGAAAAACGAGGGCCTGCAGG